CCGATACTCTAGAAGAATCGGGAGGAGGTTCTTTGGTGCAATGTGTGTGTTTCTGGGGGTTGGGAGAAGAACATGCAAGAGACCTAAAACCTCATCCTACACAGTGGGGGTTGGGGGGTCAATAATCTAATACCTCAAGCCAGAAAATAACAAATAGCAGTATGAGCATATTTTTATTAAATAAAAAAATCAATACTTGAGAAATGAGAGTTCAGAATGATCTCTCATTCTTTAGGGAGAATTGAAAGGCAGAGGAAGGGAAGAATGTTTTCCATTTTAAGCCATGTGCAACGATTTTACCTTTAAAATTATGAACATGGATTACTTTAGTGAAAATGGAAATAAAAATTCCAAGAAAAAATTGAAAATATAAGTATGGTCAAAATGCGAAGTGAACTAAAACATGCCATGATTTGAGCTATTGGAGGAGGAGGAATGGGGGAGAGAGAGAGAAAGAATACAATTGACCTTCAGTTTTTTAAGTTGCAAGAATTTATAATACAAAGTTAACTTTTTTTGAGTTACTCATGCTTCTAGGATCCAATGTGAATAATATACTGAGTAATCATGATACAGGCTTATTGGTTTCTGATTTTTTTAAGAATTACTCTGTATCTGGGGGAATCCGTGGGTGGCTAAGTGGTTTAGCGCCTGCCTTTGCCCGGGGCATGATCCTGGAGTCCCGGGATCAAGTCCCACATTGGGCTCCCTGCATGGAGCCTGCCTCTCTCTCTGTGTGTGTGTGTCTCTCATGAATAAATAAATAAAATCTTGAAAAAAATTTAAAAAATTTACTCTGTATCTAAAGTGCAAAATATTTCATTATAATTGTCAGACTGAATGCTAAAAACAAACCAAAGAAACAGAACCCTTGGCCATGTAATAGTGCTAGGAGAGTATAGGAAGCTGGGGAGAGCCTAAGTGCTGAGGTCAGGGTCCCTAATTTCCTCATCCTACATTGGAGAGTCAAGGATAAAGCCGATGGCATAAGAGTAACTCAAAGAAGCAGCTTCATTCACTGTGTGAAGTTCAGGAGGAGCACGGGAGGGAAGGGGAGTTAAATGTCTCATGCATCATATCGGGCAGTTACCATCATAGCAACAGCCAAGTGTAGGTCATCAAGATATGAAAGCAGAAGCAAAGGGGCTCATCGTAGGATTCATTTGTAGGACAACTCATCAAACTCGTTACTGTTGTTTTTAACCACTTGGTAATGGTAGGAAGCCTTGGAATTAGAGAAACTTAAAAGAGCATCTCTGAAATAATGAGAAAATACTTGACAGTGAAAACCACACCCCAATCCCAGGCATATTTTGAGGAGTTCTTGCACATTTCATTTACTGCTGCAGCTGCTAAGTTCCACTGGTACTGAGAACATGGAGCCGGGCTTTATGAGGGACATCAACATTCACGGACTAAAGAGGGAAGAGGATTTCTTTTTTTTTTTTTCCTGATAAAGCTTTAATTGCGGGACATGAGCAGGTACAATATACGTGCTGTCACCAGGGCGATTGTGCCAATGCAATCAGAGTAACCGAAGCTTGATTCCTCCTCTGTGACGCTGATCAGTAGTATTACTCCTCTGCCTCCTCATCAGGGTTTTGCAAGAGTTCGAATCCACGCAAAGCAAAGCACTCACACATTTATAAAGATAAAAACAGATGTGAGCTCTTCTAGGACCCAAGTGGCAAGGAAAACCATTCTTTAAACAATTTTCTTGTAAAAAACAGAAACGCTGAGAGTATTTTCCTTTGAGAGGCGTGGATTATTAAACCATCACATTTCTTAGGTTAAACTGTCCCTTTATTTTTGTTCTTTCGATACAGGAGAGGTTCAAATGAGGGCTTGCTTTAATATCTTAAAGCGTTCTGACATATGAAGGTATATGTGGTGGGGAGCGGAAAGTAGAAACCAAACCAAACCAAACCAGAAACAATTTTTTGGCTCTCAGCTGCAAACCCCTTTCTTTGCCCTGCTTTGTGGTATTGCAGCTGGAACTCTGCACACATTTCTTGACGTTGGGGTTAAGCTTTATCAGCAGAGGGTGCTGGAGTCACTAGAATGATAGTGACAGCAAATCCACCCCCCCCCCTCCGTTATGGCCCCATTAAGAGTGAGGGAGCTATGGGAGGACTTCCAGCTGCATGTCAGGCCGCCTCTCCATCATCCCCACACCGCCCAGGAATGGTGGACTGCTTTTACAAACCTGTACTCACCGAGTTTCTTCACCTCCAGCAGGCTGTGCTCCACCATTCAGCAGGAGAGGGGTGCCCTTTGGTTGGTAGTTCCTTTTTGGTCTTCTCTTCCTCAGCACGGGGAGGGGTGTGTGTGTGTAATGCAAAGCCCAAGGCCAAGGTGGGGTATAATTAAGCAAGAATGCCAAAAGACTGTATTCTCAGAGGAAGGTGGAACTGGAAGTAAATACAAAACAGTCCCCTTCTCCCTAGGGAACTGTGGGAACATTACTTTGGCCTAATCAAGGCTATCACCACAGTCTGCTGTCCTGTGAATGTGCACCCCAAATTCTCATCACCAGGCTGGTCTTTAGAAACCCCACATGGCCAATTTACTTTAAAAGTGCATATATACTAAAATTGGAAGGATACGGAGATTAACATGGCCCCTGTGAAAAGATGACACGTAAAAGTGGATCTAGGGGCGCCCTGGTTGGCTTTAGTGTTAAGCATCTGCCTTTGGCTTGGGCTTGATTCATGATCCTGGAATTGAGCCACATTGGGCTCCCTGCTGGGCGGAAGGGGGCTGCTTCTCCCTTTCCCTGCCACTCCCCTTGCTTGTGCTGTCAAATAAATAAATAGAATCTTAAAAAAAAAAAAAAAAGTAGATCTAAACTTGGGAATTTTCAAACCTGGAAGAAAAAAATGAGAACTAAAAGACATTCCCAGTTTCAGAAGTAACTGCTTACCAGAACAGATACCTACATATTTTAAAGAAAACAAAATCTAGAACTCAAAGGCAAGGGTCAACAAACAACAGCCTACAAGCTAAATCTTGCTGCCTGCTGTTTTTGTAAATCTAGTTTTATTGGAACACAGCCGCACCCACCCATTTAGTATTCCAAGCAGACTTGACCCACCCTTCTGCCCACAAAGCCTAAACTATTTTATCTGGCCCTTTTTTAGAAGCTTGCCAACCCCTGGCTCAGGCCACTGACATTTATTATGATTATTGGTGTGGTTGGATTCTGGTATACCAATTTTTGTTTGTCCCTGTGGTTTGTTTTTGCTTCCTGTTCCTCCCACCTTTCACTTTCTTTTGGATTACTTGAATAATTTTTAATATTCTATTTTAATTTGTTGGCTATAAATATGCGTTCTTTAAAACGGTTGCTCTAGGGATTACAAATATACCTAAGAAGTTTTCTATTTAAGGGTTAGTATCATTCCTTTTTTTTATTTATTTTTTATTTTTATTTTTTTAGTATCATTCCTAATATTAGACTTCATGTAAATTGGAAAAGCCTTGCAGCAATAAACTGAAACAGCTCTGAGACTGAATATAAAAATGGACAATGGGTAGACCTCACATGACAACAAACGGACTCAGGACCTCTGCAGCAACCAGTTTAGGTCGCCAAATGAAACCCCTGCAGCCAACTACCCAGAATGGTCAAGATTTGTTTGGCGACTGCTAACATCCTGACTTTTTGTCCAGACTCAGGACCAATCAGAAAGCCAAATATGTTCCCCCTAACAATCACGTTCGATGCCTGCTGCTGGCTGGCCAGGTTCCAGCTTTCTCCTGTCATTGATCTCCAATCAGAACATGCCTGCAGCTTTGTTTCTCATTATAAAGCTTTCCCATTACAGACTTCTGCCTGCAACTCTGCAAAACACAAGTGGTCATGTTTTGCTATAGCAAGATCTGAATCTGAATGAGCCTGTCCTCATTTCTGGGTGTTTTTTTTTTGGGGGGTGGGGTGGGGTGGTTTTTATTTCCACAACTCAAGTGTTCAGCAATACAATAAATGTGACATGATCATCTGTTACTGCATATATGAACAAAGGCTACTGCCTCTTTATTAAGTGCTGCTCCAGTTGTTTTAGGTTCTTATTATATTCCAGAGTTTCAAAGATTAGATTCTAAAAGCTTTTGCCAACTTAATAGTTGTCTCAGTAAAGGGAAAAAGTCTTTGGTGCTCACTACTCCACCATTTTTGGTCATGTCACTATGTCACATTTTAAAAAGATGAAGTTTTAGAAATGGAGAACAGATTAGTGGCTGCCACGGGGTGGAGGGAGAGGAACAGCAACAGGAGGCATCTTTGTGTTGTTGGAGTTGCTCAGCATTTTGCCTCTGGTGGTGAATACATGAACCTACACAAGTGATAAATTTAGAACTAAATAAATTCACACGTACTATATAATACAAGTAAAACGAGGGAAATGTGTATAACATTAGTGAATTGTATCACTATCCTAATGGTGATATGCTATAGTTTTATAAATACTGAGGGGAAAAAAATCAGAGGAACAAATGTACAAGGAATCTCTCTGTATCATTTCTTAACAACTGCATGTGAATCTACAACTATCTCAAAAATTTTAATTTAACAAAGTAATTCAGAAGATTCAGATTTAGGATGAGGAGGTTTTAGAAGCACATTATTCAACTGATTTTTATGCATCCATAAATGATAGAAATTATCTTTAGATAAATCTAAAATAGCTCTTTTAATAAGTAAAATAAAATTCTCAAGAAAGCATCAACTATAGAATTATACTGATCTTTTTTAGTGGGACATAAAATAATTGAGCATTTTGCAGTTAGTGGAAACTTATGATTTGATGATTTATGGTATGTTTGGAATGAGGTTTACTTACAGGTCCATTTTGGTTTACATCGCTAGCTTTGGCACTAACCACCAAAATGTCTGTAATAAACAGTGACAGTAACTAACAGGATAGATGGAGTCAGGAAGCATATAATAATTATCCACAATTCTGTTAACTACGTGTATAAGACAAGTTCAGGAACAATGGGAAAGTAATATATGCAACTTTATTAAGAAATGAAATATAAATTATAAACTACCATTTACAATTAACTTTTGTACGCCAATACTTCAGTATTTCCACTCATTAAATAAAGCACATGTAACTCAAAATGCTAAGTAATTCTTAGTTTGTGACTAAATTCTCTAAAGAACACAATATTGATGAATATTCAACATTGTTAAGTAAGGTATGGGTGGTTATTTAACCTTAGTTAACAATCACCACAGACATCAAAATGATCATGGTTAATACCAACTGCAGCATTTATAGAATATTACTTAAGCCCAATATTGATGTATTAAATGAAAATACAGAAAAAAAAAAAATCAAAGAAACTGGTATTTATGGCACCAGGTTAATGCAGATTTAAAACCATCTTTGTCGGGGTCCCTGGGTGGCGCAGTGGTTTGGCGCCTGCCTTTGGCCCAGGGCGCGATCCTGGAGACCCGGGATCGAATCCCACATCGGGCTCCCGGTGCATGGAGCCTGCTTCTGCCTCTCTCTCTTTCTCTCTCTGTGACTATCATAAATAAATAAAAATTAAAAAAAAAATTAAAAAAAAAATAAATAAAACCATCTTTGTCAAAGTTTTAACACTGTTAGAAAGTTAAATGTACCTAAATGAGACATGACGCTATTTGATACAACAAATTTTGTCCTCCTATGGGTATTACTATTTTAGTTTTCTCCTCTATATGAAAAACTTAAGTATGTTACTACTTATGTATGGATTACCTCATACATATAACATTCTATAAACAAATGCATTGGTAACTAATCTATTAAGGCCATCATCAAGTCTTAGAGAAACTTTAATGTGTCTTACAAAGGTGAGGTTAGCCTACAGACATGGAATAGGTTAATAGGAATAAATATAATTTTTCTTTTACCAGGCTTTCTTTTCCTTTTAGTTGGAATAGGATTTGGGGATGGGGTTACTGAAAGCACCAGGGTTCAACAAATTTACATTTTACCAAAGGAAAAAGATTCTTAAAGAATGCAATGACGGGATCTAATGTTATTCTTACAGCATAATCTCCATTTTATTAAAGTGATACCATAATGATACTGTAATGCTTTAGACAAAAATTTTAAGATACATCAATGACCACCAAGTTTCAAAGAAAATGCAGTGATCAAAATATTTAATTGTCTTTTCATCAAGCTTTTACAAACACATTCAGTCTTCACTGTCTGAGGAAATCAGTTTTAGCTTCTTCATAGTCCTCCATCTGTCTTTTAACATGACGCCTGTTCGGTTGTTGAATTTATAATGTAACAGTATTTTAGACCAGTTTCCCTCTCCGTATTTCCTCACACCAGATCTCAGATTCTTGTCTTCTTCCCAAAGCCATGCCTTTTGATAAAATGCAAAACAGTTATTCACAGAAACAATTCTTTAAAGAACATACTTACTATAAATCCAACTGTTTAAAATCAAAGTGATATTAGTTTCTTGAGGATGGAAGAATTTGCATATATGTATTAGATTTCTGTAAGAGCTTATAAGATTTCTCAGGGTCCTTACTATTACCGTGCATTTTATCTAAGCACAGTATGGCTCAGCTGCCCAAGATCAGATAGCTACACAACTGTAGAGCTAACCCAACCCAATTCATCAAACTTTAAGCCTACATGGTCTCTTAGATGCTTTTCTACAACTGTCATGAGACTGGTATTCTACGTCCCTCCCCCTTTAAAAAAAAGATTTATTTATTTTAGAGAGAAAAAGAGAGAGACAGAGAGAATGCTCGCACACATGTGAGGGGAGGAGTAGAGGGAGAAAAGCGGATTCCTTGCTAAGCGAGGGAGGAGCCCAACTTGAGGCTCAATCTCAATCTCACAAACCTGAGATCATGACCTGAGCTGAAACCAAGAGTTGGAAAATCAACTGAATGAGCCACACAGAAGCCCCCAGATGGGTACTTCTTAATCCCATGTATCTCTAAACAGAACTTATGAATATTTAATACTTCTTTAAGGAACCCAGAGAAAACCCACTTCTATGTCAGGCAAAGTACACATAGCCATAAACCTCAACTCTCCCTTAAAACAGATTCTTTTTTTGAAAGTTTTTTTTTTTTTAAGATTTTATTTATTTATTCATGAGAGACACAGAGAGAGAGACAGAGACACAGGTAGAGGGAGAAGCAGGCTCCACGCAGGGAGCCCAATGTGGGACTCGATCCTGGATGGAGGATCATGCCCTGAGCTGAAGGCAGACGCTCAACCGCTGAGCCACCGAGACATCCCCTTAAAACAGATTCTTTAAAACATAACTAATCAGACGAATTCAAAACATTTTATTTTGGAGAAAAATGGCTGAAGATTTTAAAAAATCAAGCTAGTACCATACACAGAAAAAAGTTATTGATAGTTGGCATTTGCTACAGGTGAGACCAACTAACCTATTCCTTATGCTGACATGCTGAAGGAGCAAATGATTATGTGTTTATTTATTGTGTCTAACTGTGATTAGTTTCCCCAGTTGAATTTCCTATTTTCTTTAAAAACCCATTCATCATCAAGTCACAAAAAGATAAATACTGTATGATTTCACTTACATGAGGTATCTAGAATAGTCAAACTCACAGAAACAAAGTAAAATGGTGGCTGCCAGGAGATGGGAAGGGACAATGAGGAATTAATGGGTACAGAGTTTTAGTTTTGCAATATGAAAAAGTTATACAGAGATTGGTTGCACAACAACGTGAATGCACTTAATGCCACTGAACCATACAGTTAAAAATGATTAAGATAAATTTTGTTATGTATGTTTTACTACAAAGACATAAAAAAGTTAAGAAATGATCAAGGGACTTGAGAAGACATTTCTTCAAAGAACATACACAAATGGCCAGTAAGTGCATGATAAGACACTCAACATCACTATCATTAGGGAAATGCAAATCAAAACTACAAGATATTACCTCACTCATTAGCACATCTACCATCAAACAAACCCAAAAAACCAAAATAAGCACCAGAGAAAAACTAAACGTTGGTGAGGATGCAGGGAAATTGGAATTCTTATGTATTGCAGGAAAGAATAAAAATTGCGTGGCCAGAATGGAAAACAGAATGGTGGTTCCTCAAAAAAATTAAAATTACCATGCTATCCAGTAATTCTACTTATGGCATATACCCAAAAGAACTGAAAACAGGTAATTGAAGAGAAATCCATGGGTATCAACACCCATGTTGATAACAGTGTTAGTAGGCAAAACTTGGAAGCCATCTAAGTTATCCACTGATGGATGAATGGATGAACAAAATATGGTATATAAATACAGTGAAATATCATTTAGCTTTAAAAAGTAAGGAAATTCTGACACATAACTATAACATGGATGAAACCGGAGGACAATTATGCTAAGTGAAAAGAAGTCAAACACAAAAGGACATATACTATAGGATTCCACTTGTATGAGAGGTACCTAAAACAGTCAAACTCGGGAGATAGAACGGTGTTTGCCAGAAGCATGGGAGAGGGGAAAATGGGAAGTTATTGTTTAATGGATATAGCTTTTGTTTTGCAAGTTGAAAAGAGTCCTGTGGATGGACAGTGGTAATGGTAGCACAACAATATGAATGTTTAATGCCACTGAACTATATACACTTTAATATGGTTAAGATCATAAATTTTGTTACGCGTATTTAGTACAATTAAAAAAATTCCTACTCCGCTAATCTGATGCACTATTTAAAAAAAAAGAACTCAGGGTGGCTTCCAGAAGACAGACCTGAGATGAAGACTTGTAAATGGCTCAATGCCATAAAACTGGAAGTGACCATAATTAAACCTTGTTTGAGATGCTTGTCTTGGCAAATGTGTTGTCTCCTGAGTGCCTAGTGTACATGGCTAATTGATCTCTAGACAAAAAGAAAGAAGACATGCTCCTATGATGGTCTACACTGACCAACCCTGCCCAATTCTCTGTCACCACTCCTACAAGCTTCAATCCACTGCTTGTCACTGATGCTAAAGCAAAAGAGATGTAAATTTTTCCACGTGTGGGTGAACAGTTTAAGAGAGAGAAATGGACTTACAGATTAGGCTAACCTTAAAAAAATAACTGCTTTTACTGTCTCCAACTATGGAAGTTGCTACAGTTTTGTTCAGTTTTAAAGACTGGTTCTTAGTTTATGCAAATTTCATATATACATCATAATTTTCTGGTTTGAATATGAGCTAATTACTATTAAAGAGTGCACAGATGATATCTGATACAATACAAAAACTCATTTATCTCAAGAAATAGATAATATTCTCTACCTGAATCTTACTTAGGTTCCTGGATACAAGTTTAAGCAGTATTTTCCAGTGGATCACATACAGCAAAGGTAGCAAGCTACTGCCAAAATCCAGCCTCAGGCTGTTTGTACTGTCCAGAAGCTAACAATGGTTTTTACATTTTAAAAGGCTGCTTTTAAAGGAGAAAAAAAAAAAAAAAGAAAAAATGTGATAGAAACTATCTACGGCCTAGGAAGCCTATTAAAATACCCACTACCTGGCCCTTTATAAAAAAGCTTTGCCAAACTCTGACCTAGAAGTTAGTTATAATTTTGTCAAGTGAAGGTTAACTGAAAACTACCATTTTTAAGTATTTAATGTTTTCTTCTATTGAAAAAGAGCAACTTTAATTTGATATATTGTTACTCTGTGATTATGCCTTCTTTTGTTATGAATGTTTGGAATCTTAATTTCATCTATGTTTTAAAGGTAAGTGTCTTGAAAAACATCATATGGAACAAGATCATATAACCAAATAATAACATAATCTTTAAAAGTTTAAAGAGGCCTGGGCGCCTGGGTAGCTCAGCTGGTTAAGCACCTGACTCTAGATTTGGGCTCATGTCATAATCTCAGGGCCATGAGATCGAGCCCTAGATGGAGTTCTGTGCTGGGCATGAAGCCTGCTTAAGATTTTCTCTCTCCTCCCTCTACCCCTCCCCTCCCTGCCTGCCCCTGCAGGTGCATTCTTTCTCAATAAAAAACAAAAAAATAAAAATATTTAAAGTTTAAAAAGGCCAACTCCTACTTTCAAGAAAGGAGTTGGATGACACATTTGGCTTATCAGTGACAGATCAGAAAGAAAATGTCAGGGTAGCACAATTTCATGAGTCTACTCTTGCTGACTCTTCTAGATTCCATCCATAATATCACATAGTTAAAGAATTTAAGATAATATATTTTAGGATATATTAAAAAAAAAACCTGTGCTTTTTGTGCTATTCTGTCTTTTCCTTTTCTTGAAAAATTAAAAATAGAATCAACAACAACAACAAAAATAACAACCCTGGTCAAGCCCACAACCCAAAAAGATACAAAGAACATATAACAAATTAAAACACCAATCTTTTTCTTTCCTAAGGTTAAAAAGGTTTTATATAACTTATATTTGAAAATTATATATCATCTTTAATGCCGTTCAGAGGAAAAAACAATATAATGCCTAAAGTGATACTATCCATAGTAAAAAAAAAAAAAAAAAGTTATATAGTAATTTCCATCATATACTATCTCTGGGAAAAAAAAGTCTTTCTTCTTGAAAAACATTTACTTTTCTTCTTTAATAGAATAAACTTACAAAAGGAAGTCTCAGTGAACTGTGATGAAGCTGGTAGAAATACCTATCTGTTTAACAGACAAATACAGCAAGGAGAAATTATCTAATCAGGTACAGAGTAGTGCAATAAACATTTTTTAAAGAATCAAAATGTTAATAACACAAAGTAAGATAAAATCTGTTACTCGTCTGAAAAAAAAGTCCTACTCAAAAAGCCAACAGAGTAAAGTAGAAAATAAAATGAGGCACTTGTGATAGCCACAGAAATCTTTTTTGGCACAGTAAGCAGTGATAGACAATATCACCTATATTTTAATTCTAAATTACATAGTTGATTACCCACATTTTGTTTTGAATGCAAAGAGAGAGAGAGACAGAGAGAGAGAGAAACTGTTTTTTAATATACGTCTATTAAATAACACCTACAAACTCACTGAGAATTGTTGCCAGAATAACCACTGGGAAAGATCAATTAAAATATGAGGCAGAGACTTCTAGTTTGGGGACTGACATATAAAAAGCTTGCAAATATTACTCCAGTTCTGACAAGAAAAAAACTAAACAAACTGAAAGTCAACAACTCTTTGTAGATCTGTCAGAGAACTAACATCAATAGGTAAACTGCTGCCACAAAACTAGAGAAACATAAAGGTGGATACAGAGAAACCCAGCTTACCAGGAACAGAAGCTCACAGCTGGAACCAGTACTGACAGAAAACTTAACCATGATGGATGAACTGATAGAGGCACACTGTGGACAAGCTTGAGTTAAAAAAAAAAAAAAAAAAAACTCCAGATGCCCAGTCTTAGCAGGGCCACAACTCCAACTCATCTCCACTTAACTCCAGCTCCCTCCACCCTACCATCATGGGAGGGAAATGCCCAACTTTTGCCCCTTCTAGCCATCCTTTCTCACTGAAAAGGGGGAAAAAGCTGAGAAGCATATATGAAGGCTTTAGTCTAGGACACAAACTCACTAAAAGAATCAGAAAATCACACAAAACTATAGAATACTTCTTCTCTTCCTCCTTCATTTTACCATATTATTTAAGTTGCTGTAAATCAACTGTCTTAGCTGAAAGAGCCATCTCAGGTCCTTACTAAGGAGACCAGGGAAAACCAAAGACAGCAAGGGAGACAAAAATAAGGAAATTTTAGCCTCTGACATGGGCTAGAGCAAATAGTAAATAAAGCCTAACTCTGAGCTACACAAACATAAAACCTTATGCCCAAGATCAGCTTACCGCCATTCCTTTTACCTGATACATCATGTACAGCTATCAACAAAAAAATGGCAAGGTACACTAAAAGGGAAAACAACACAATCTGAAGGGACAAAAGCATCATCAGGCTCAGCTATGAGAGAGATTTTGGAATTATCAGACTGGGAATTTAAATAACTACGATTAATGTTAAGGGCTGTAATGGAAAAAATGGACAACATGTAAAAACAGATAGGTAAATGTAAGCAGAGAAATGTAAACCCTATGAATCAAAAGGAAATGCTAGAAATCAACACACAGTAACAGAAATGTAGAATGCCTTTGATGGGCGCATCAGCAGAGTAAACATGGATGAAGAATCAGTGAGCTTGAAACTAAAAATAGAAACTTCCCAAATTGGAAAGCAATGAGATAAAAAGAATGAAAAGAAAAAGAGAGAAAAAAGAACAGCCAAGTACTCTGAGAAAATTACAAAAGATGTGGCCTATAGATAATGGGACATCAGAAAGAGAATAAAAGAAAGAACTGAAGTAATAACAACTGAGAATTTTCCAAAATTAATGACAGATGCCAAAACAGACACAAGAAACTCCAAAGAAACAAAGTAGGACAAATGCCAAAATATCTACACCTTGGCACATCATATTCAAAGTAAAAATTCAAAGACAAAAAAATATGTAAGACTTTTGGCTGCATATATAGTAGCATGTGGTCGGCATTTCTCCATTCTCCTTTGGGAATTCACCCAACAGCAACAAGGAAAGAAATAAAATCCCAAACTCTTACAAAAATTAGAAGACCCCTATGATCTGATTCATAATATAGGTGGAAGGGGTACACTATTGGTGAACTGACAGAAGGTATGCAAGGAAGCAGGACAGAGCCAGTCTGCCTAGAGATCTGAGAAAGCCTGTGGATGTGCAATTTTGCAGAGTAAAGAAAACCTAGCCTGAGGTACGCACCCTGAATTCGTGGTGTGCAAGAGCAGGAAACTCCCTCATCATGCAGTTGCTCTAAATAGTAAAGGTGGTGGTGCAAAATAAGGAATCATATGGATAAGCAATATTTACAGGAAGCAAATCAGAAGTAGGAACTGCTTGCTATGTTCACTTGAGCCACAATAGTTATTAATAGTTATTCCTAATAGCCTGAAATTTGACCCTAGCCCCAGTGTCTGAACATGAACCATCTAAGGGGGATAAAAATCCTTAAAGGAGAATAAGAAAAAAGTAGAGTCACCTTCAACTTCTGGCTGTGATAGAAAAGGACTAGATTTGTTCACTTGCTATAAACTAGAAAACTAGATAAACTACAGGGAACAATGGTTTGAAACACGGGACCAATGGCATAGGACTAAAATCACTGAGTGCAGAAATTAAGTCCTAAAATTAACCCATCTGAACTTTCTGAACAGAAAAATTCCCTGGGACGCCTGGGTGGCTCAGCAGTTGGGCATCTGCCTTCGGCTCAGGACGTGATCTCGGAATGCCTAGATCGAGTCCCACATTGGGCTCCCTGCATGGAGCCTGCTTTTCCCTCTGCCTGTGTCTCTGCCTCTCTCTCTGTGTGTGTCTCTCATGAATAGATAAATAAAATCTTAAAAAAAAAAAAAAAAGAAAAGAAAAATCCCCTACCAAATGGTTTCTTTTTTTAAGGCACAGAAGGACCTTATTTAAATTGGATTCTTATTCAGAAGATATGAATATAAAAGCTTATAAGGTGGATTTAAGCTTAAATTAAAGCTTAAAAAGGCGCAGCGGTTTAGCGCCTGCCTGTGGCCCAGGGCGTGATCCTGGTGACCCGGGATTGAATCCCACGTCGGACTCCCGATGCATGGAGCCTGCTTCTGTCTCTGCCTCTCTCTCTCTCTCTGTGACTATCATAAAAAAAAAAAAAAAAAAAAGGTGGATTTAAGTCCCACTTTACATTGATAAATAGACCTATGATAGTACTGTAGTAATTCTAAATAAATGTCATTATCAATATGCAACTTAAGGCTATTTTAAAAATACAGGTGAGGGATCCCTGGGTGGCACAGAGGTTTGGCGCCTGCCTTTGGCCCAGGGCGCGATCCTGGAGACCTGGGATCGAATCCCACGTTGGGCTTCCGGTGCATGGAGCCTGCTTCTCCCTCTGCCTGTGTCTCTGCCTCTCTCTCTCTCTGTGACTATCATAAATAAATAAAAATAAAAAAAAATTAAAAATACAGGTGAAAATATTCTTTTTGGAAATTTTAACAGGTAGATTGGTCAATTAATCTAACATGGCAAAATCAAAGACGGTGAAGTGGAAACATTTTACATTTAAGATCTTTTAGAGTTGAGCAGAAATAATATAAAATAATCATCGTTAATGTCCACTATTATTTAAATATAATAAATACCTGTTTCTTCCTAGATTGAGATTTTTTAGAAGTTACTGGATGACTGTTCAAAACAGGTCTTCTCTTGTTGTCAGTGGTTTGTCTGAATATTTTCTTTCTTCCCCCTAAAAGTAGAAATAGTTATCAAAAACTGTTTCAAATTATAATAAAAAGGGGATGTTTTTAAAGGTTACCATGAAATTCCTATCTAGTATTTAGCTATCTAAAAAAAACAAAAACAAAAACAAAAACAAAAAACAAAAAAAAACAACTGGGATGCCTGGGTGGCTCAGCATTTGAGCGTCTGCCTTTGGCTCAGAGAGTGATCCTGGTCTGGGGATAGAGTCCGACATTGGCTCCCTGCGAGGAGCCTACTTCTCCCTCTGTATCTGTGTCTCTCATGAATAAATAAATAAATAATAAATAAAAAGAACTCTATCTGCTTAATTTCTTTCCCCTTTGAGTCTGGGAGCAGCATAGTACAATGCAAAGATCAGTTTCTGAAAATCACAGGTGGTACTGAATGTTGTTGATTCTTTTATAGGTCTTCAAACAAGTTAGCTCACCTTCAGAAGAACCTACCTTTTTTCATCATCTGTTAAAAAAGGAATAGTACAGCCCAGGGAGGCTCAGCGGTTTAGCGCTGCCTTCAGCCCAGGGTGTGATCCTGGAGACCTGGGATTGAGTCTCAGGTCAGGCTCCCTGCATGGAGCCTGCTTCTCCCCCTGCCTGTGTCTCTGCCTCTCTCTCTGATTAATAAATAAATAAAATCTTTTTTTAAATTTTTATTTATTTATGATAGTTATACACACACACACACACACACACAGAGAGAGAGAGAGAGAGAGGCAGAGACACAGGCAGAGGGAGAAGCAAGCTCCATGCACCGGGAGCCCGATGTGGGATTCGATCCTGGGTCTCCAGGATCGCGCCCTGGGCCAAAGGCAGGCGCCAAACCGCTGCGCCACCCAGGGATCTCAAATAAATAAAATCTTAAAAAAAAAAAAAAAAAAAGGAATAATATTTATCACATAGGATTGCTGAAATTTTCTTAAGATAATGTTTAAGGAGTATTTGACCTAGTATAAGAAAACAGCCCTTCTTTCATTCCTTCTTTCTTATTCATAGTCAGTTTAGTAAGATAAGAATGTATTTGTAACTGAAAAGAAAACTGTTAAGTATTGAAAAAAAATTGTTGGGCAGCCCAGGTGGCTCAGCAGTTTAGCGCCGCCTTCAGCCCAGGGCCTGATCCTGGAGACCAGGGATCAAATCCTGCATCGGGTTCCCTGCATGGAGCCTACTTCTCCCTCTGCCTTTCTCTCTCATGAATAAATAAATAAAACTTAAAAAAAAATTGTTTATATAAAAAACCTTAATCTACAAACAGAATTAAAAAGAATTTAGCAAGATGGATATAAGATCAGTAAACAAAGCTCAATAATATTTCTGTTCATTAGCAGTAGTTAAATATTGACAATAAAAGTATTTACAATACTAACAAAAAATATATTCTTAGAGATAAATCATGTAAAAGTGGTTAAGATGTGTATATCTAGTAAATTTTAAAGCTTTACTATGTGTATGTGTATACACGTTATAAGAAAATACATATAAGACACATTATACATGTTATAAGAAAATACATATAAGACAATCTAAATAGAGTAATATACTTCTGTTCATGCATAGAAGACTTAATTGAAGCCTATAATTAACACTAATATATAATAACTGTGTCCATTCTTTCTGAAAAGTATATTATTACAACACAGTTTCAAATCAAAATTTCAACAGAGTTTTTTGGTAGAACTTAACATTATTCTAAAATTATATGTGTTATGAGTAGTCCACCACTGGCCCTGAGCATCCCTGCAGTTTTTGCTGAATGTACAAGGCTTATTTGTTTCCTGATACTAAGCAGTTTTATAGTCAAATAGGCACCTAAGTAGGTCAAAGGAACCATAGCCTGACCACCATGTAACTACTCTCTCAGGGAGCAGACTGGCTGGTTTGCTATCCTGTTTTGCTGCTTACTCAAAAAGTGGTAGGCCCGTAACACCAAATTTCTCAGATATAGTACAACCTATCTGCCTGCACAGCATCTATCTGGGGCCACTGTATTGCCTATGGGACTCAGGATAAAGAAACCAGCACAACTATTCTGATGCCATGCTACTGTTTTGCTCTGACTCATTAAGTCGTATTATTGCCTACTTTTGGCACCTACAGAGTGGTAGCGGTTTTTCTGCTTGCGATCTTCTACGAAGTTCGGTTTTTTCCTGATGACACGGAAGATTAAAATACCAAGAATACTCACGATATTCCTGAAGAACAGTAAGATGAAGGGAATTTCCCTATCGCATACTGAGTTATTATGAAACTACAGTAATTAAGACAATATGGTATTGTCGCAGGAACAGACCATACATGCTAGTCAGACTCTAGTCAGGAAAATGGAAATCACACTAATTATGGACAGAGATTTTCATACTGCAAACTGTTTAAGCAGGTGCTAGAAGACTAAAATAGCAAAAAAGGAAATTAATAAATTAGCAGAGATTAATAATTACCAATGAAATTCATAATTACAGTTGGAGGCTTCAATACTGTCTCTCAGTAATTGCTGAAACAAGTAGGCAAAAATAAGCAAGCATACACAAAATCTGAACAGCACTATGAATCAACCTGACCTCATATTTACAACAGAATTCACATTTTTCTCAAGTGCATATCAACACTCACTAAGATAGACCATATCATATACTATAAAACAAATCTTAAATTTAAAAAAAGAAAGAAATCCAGGGCACCTGATGGCTCAGTCAGTTAAGTGTTTGCCTTCGACCTAGGTCATGATCCCAGGGTCCTGGGATTGAGCCCCATGTTGGGCTCCTGGCTCAGCAGAGGGCTTTGCTTCTCCCTCTCCTCCATTTGCCCCCCATTCGTGCTGTCTCTATTTCTCTCTCTCAAGTAAATAAAAATCTTTAAAAAAAGAAAGAAAAAAAAATCCTACAAAGTTATTCCCTTCCAAACAGAATTAAATTGGAAAGCAATAATAGAAAGATATCTGAATACCCTTAAATATTTCAAAATTAAACAAACAGCTTCTAAGTACCCTGTAAATCAAAGAAAAAAAACTCTTAAGGGAAATGAAAAAATATTTTGAGCTAAATGAAAAAAAAAAACATCTCAAAATCTTTGGGATGGAACTAAAGCAGTAATTAAAGGGGAGCTTACAGCATTAAATGCACATATTAAAAAAGACCTGGGAATCTATGAATAAAAGGCAACCCATATATAAAGGGGAAGAAAGGCTGACATCAGACTTGTCCACAGCAGCACTCAAAGTCAAAATATAATGGATTAGTATCTGCAAAGTTGTAAGAAAAATATTTCCAAAGAATATTATATTTAGCCAAATTTCTTTAGCAAAAAACAGTATACACTTAAGGTACAGCATAGTTCCATATGTCAATGGCACTGTAATAATGTTGTATGGGGACAGATGGTTAGCTACCCTTAGGTAAACACAGCATAATATATAGTTGTCCAATCACTATGCTGTACACACAAAACTAATGTAACATTGTATGTCAACTATACTTCAATAAAAAAAAGAAAGGAGCATCTTCCACCTTAGTGATGATAAGAGCATGGATCTGTCAGGGGTTGCCACCTGAAGAGAGTCTGCTTAGAGGGGAAGCCATCACAGAGGAAAGTAGAACTGAGAGAGATAGAGGAAGCTGGTCTGAGGTGAATGACTGAATTGCTGGATCCAGCCACACTTGAAGGTAATGTACCTCTGAACTTATAAATAGGAGCCGATAAATTCTCTTTCTCGACTCCCTCCAAATAATAGATCTTCTCAGCAATATAAGAATTTAGAAATTATAGAACCAATAATCCCATCTTTTTAAAAAACCTAGCCAGGGGATCCCTGGGTGGCTCAGCGGTTTAGCGCCTGCCTTGGCCCAGGGCGCGATCCTAGAGTCCCGGGATCGAGTCCTGCATTGGGCTCCCAGCATGGAGCCTGCTTCTCCCTCCTCCTGTGTCTCTGCCTATGTCTATCATTAAATAAATAGATATCTATCTATCTATCTATCTATCTATCTATCTATCTATCTATCTATCTTTAAAAACAAAATCTAGCCAAACAAGAGGTAAGGAATGGGGACATGATGATCAAAGGTTAGTAATTAGCATGAAATCAATTTAAATACAGATTAAAGTATTTTGGGAATTATGACTAGTAAAGAGAATTCAACAAATTTTTATCATATAAAATAAAACTAAGAAAAATTGGGAATTGGTAGGAGAGGGCGGTTTTGTTTTTTTTGCTAATATCACCCTTTTTAGATAATCAAGTCTAAAATTTAAATTTCTACAGATGTAGTCTAGCCCAGCAATTAAAAGCATGGGCTCTGCAGGCAGAAGGTCTAATTTTGCCTGGCAGACTCAGTCGGCAGAGCATGAACCTCTCAATCTTGGGGTTGTGAGTTCAAGCCCCACGTTGGGCAAAGAACTCACTAAGGACAACTGGGTGGCTCAGCATGAGTGTCTGCCTTTGGTTTAGGGTATGATCCTGGAGTTCTAGGATCGAGTCCCACCATCAGGCTCCCTGCATGGGAGCTCCCTGCCTGTGATTCTAGTTCTGTTCACTATTTCTGAGATCAAGTAGATTTTACTTAATCTCTTTTTGTAGCGGCTTCCCCATGTATAGAATGGGATCATTTAAAAAAAAAAAAAAAAAAGGGCACTTTTAAGATTTTTGAGGATTAAATGAGTTTACATACTGTTTCGCTGCATGGTAAGTTTTTTCTGCACAGAAAGAATTTAGGTAATTTTCTTTCAAGTTTTCTGACTCACTCAATTTTTTTTTTTAATTTTTATTTATTTATGACAGTCAGAGAGAGAGAGAGAGAGAGAGAGAGAGGCAGAGACACAGGCAGAGGGAGAAGCAGGCTCCATGCACCGGGAGCCCGATGTGGGATTCGATCCCGGGTCTCCAGGATCGCGCCCTGGGCCAAAGGCAGGCGCCAAACCCCTGCGCCACCCAGGGATCCCCGACTCACTCAATTTTTTAAAAGTACATGACAATTTTACAAATCTGAAAAAAAAATTTTTGTAAAGGGTGTTTTAAAAAAATTTGAAAAAAACTGTTTAGCATAAATAAAACTAAATCCATTAATTATGAAGAAAGGGTACTGCATACCTTTTAAGCAAAGTGGAATTAAAAAAAATATGTATGTATATATTACTAACATCTAACAAAAAGTCAAGAAATGTACTACAACTCAAAATCTTCTAGGCTCAATATCCATAGCCAGTGTCAAACCACTCTGTATTGGGGTTACAGTTGAGTTTAACTACTAATCAACTACTTAGAATCTAAAAAAGTAGTATAAGTTTCCATTTCTTTGAATTTTGCATTATGAAATTAAAAGCCCTGAATCCCCAAATTATTTTAGTTTAGAATTATGATTCTTAGCCATTTTGCAGCAAGAGATGCAGAACAATTTTGGAGTAACAACATGAATTATTTGAGTTTAACTTTACCATCTTTAAAATGAGGAGGATGATAAGATCTATGGATGTAAATGTTTTAGAGCGATAATTTACAAATATTAGTTAAGACTAGCTCTGTCATCAGCCATCAGCTATGAACTAATTTAGTCAATTAATACTTACTGTAGCTCTACTATGTCCCTGGCATTAAGTTGGTACATCTATTATTTTCATACTGACCAATAAGTTGCTAAGTGTGGATCAATAGTTTAAAAATCCTTGTATTCATTTTCATTCATTACCTAGAATGTAGTGAGGTTCAATAAACATTTGCTGAATGAATAAATATAAATGAGAAACTTATAATCAAATTTTAATTTAAAATAATTATGGACTGCTTTTAAGATTTTTTGGGGGGGTTAATGTTGTTTTTTAAATCCAGTGATCCCTTTTATAAGAATAAATTCTAAATGCAAGGAAGAGAGTAGCTAGATTCCACAGTCAATCCTCATTATTCATGTATCCTGTATTTGTGAATTTACATCCCTGCTAATAATTTGTAACTCAAAAGTCAATACACAGTGTTTTTGTGGTCACTGGTGGACATTCATAGACCAAAAAATTCATCTCACCTGATGTGTGTGTTCCCAGCAAAGGTTAATAAATAAGATAATTCTCTGCCTTTCTGTTTTAGCTCTATTATAAATGTCTTTTTTAGTGTCTATTTAATGCTACATTTTGTGTTTGGGCGTAATTTTGCTGTTTAGAATGGCCCCCAAATGTATTGTGGAAGTGTTGTCTAGTGTTCCTAAGTGCAAGAAGACTAGGATGTTCCTAACAGAAAAAATGTGTTAGCTAAGCTTTACCCAGGCACACGTCACAGTGCTACCGGCTGTCAAATCAACATTATATATTAAAAAGTGTCTTTAAACCGAAACATGTAAACATTCTGAGCAAGACTATATATTTATATTTATCAGTTGACAAAGCTGGTGACAAGAGGCTCAAAGGAATCTAACCCTGTAATTCCCCTTAGTATTTACTAGTTGCGGTGACTTTATAGAACATAACTACCATAGTAACAACTTCCATGTTTCAGATAAGTAACTATTTCAAGTTGCTGAATAAAAGTTAAAGTAGAAGCTTTTCTACTTCTAGCTTTTCTACTTCTTTTCTACTTCTAGAAGCAGTGTGCCAACATAGCAAAAGTACTCCAAGCTAGGCAATCAGAATAGCTAATTTTCTAAATTAAGTACTAACTTTCTAAGTTAACTCTATGGAGGTATGACATTTAATCCTTTGTGCATCAGTTTTCTGAAGTGTCTGTGTGTTATGATGGGGAGGTAAGGGGCTGGATCAATTTCAAGGACGCATTAATTCTCCACTTCTAAAATTGAAGTAAGAGTACTCACTTTGAAGAGTTTCCACTCTTTCTTCTTTCCTATTAAAATCCTGTCGTTGGCTTCCATGTTTTGACTTATATAGAAAGAGATTCTTGTGAGACCTAAATTAAACATAAAAGCATGGTATTGGTTCCATAAAAAGTAGAATGGCTATGAAAAAAAGATGATTTGTCTTAATCCGTTATAGACCTTCTCCCACTTCAGGTTGTTTCCTTGCTGAGTGTCCCATCTTAACCTCTGGCCTCTTAAGATTTTTGTTGTCCGACTTCCTCTCCTCCCATCACTTAATTTCTCTATCTCATCTACTTAGAAATCAAGATTCTTTTGACCTCCTAATTATACAGGTGAAGGAAAAAAAAAATCCTCAGACTATCAGCTATTAACTTTCATCTCTCTTGTGGCTTTTAATTACCAAAATAGGAATTCCAAAATTCCTTTACACATAATGATTATTTTTATAGCTTCCAAAAAAGAGCTTTTTTGAAATGAAGGCTGTTTGGAAATACAGGGTATAGCAAAATTTTGACAACACTGCAAAGTTGGTATTATTTCAATTTTTATAAAGGAGCTAGTTTAGATGAAAAAAGTAGTTTACCTAAGCTTAGGAAATGATTTTACCACCACCTAAAATCTCTATTTTTACCTAAGTACACATGCAACCTGCTAATCTGTTCCCTTTCTCCCTGTGCTCTAATGTCATTCTCAACCTCTTCACCAGCTCCCCTACTTCTTTTGCCCTAAAATCTAGCTCTCCCTTAGGGAGAATATTTCTTTTCTTTGTGGCCTGCTCAAGTAAAGACAGGCTTAATCTTCTACCTTCTTATGAACCGAGTCCCAGAGGTGGGTCTATACTTCCCATTTCCTAATGAATACCACTTTTAGGGTCCTGATTCCACAGAAATTTTAGCCCTTGATGATTCATGCCACTGATGTGAATCTCCATCTACCACTCTTCAGAATCATTCACTAACCTTGCAAGCACTTCCCATCATTCACAGATCTTTCTCTACCCCCTAAGGATGGTTTTATCATGTTACTTCACTCATGGATAACCCATATACAATCCTGACCTCTCAATTCCTCAGTTCCACTGACCTCCCCCACACCAAATCAAAACCTCGCATCACTGTTCCTGTTCAGCATCTCAGCTGCTCTATCTCTGAAATCATTCATGCAGACTTTCTGTTCTCTGAACATGTTACATGTCTGTAACTAAAATGTAGATTAAACATAGTTTTTCAATTAGTTTCATAAAATAGAACTTGGGATATTGGGCAAATCCGGTGGCTCAGCGATTTAGTGTTGCCTTTAGCCCACGGCATGATCCTGGAGACCCTGGATGGAGTCCCACATCAGGCTCCCTGCACAGAGCCTGCTTCTCGCTCTGCCTGAGTCTCTGCCTCTCTCTCTCTGTGTCTCTCATGAATAAATAAATAAAATCTTTAAAAAAAAAAAAAAGGAAATTGGGATATTCATCAGAAATGTAACTGTCCCCCACTCCCAGCAACATATCCTTGTTTCTAGGGCAGAATTAGAATTTATTAAATATTGGCTTTAAGTTCAAGGACTCCCTATATGTGTATGCTAGTAATGGCCTTGTGGAAACAATGCGTAACAACCCAGGATCCCAGAGGCAGGTCTCTATGGTTTGGAATTTCAAGACATGTCAAGGTCTTGAATACCTGTTGAGATAAGCAGGTACCTACGATATTCTCTAAATCATAGTATTTATATGACAGTTATTATAACATCTAAGTCTGTATGAAGTGTTTCAAAGATTTTAAAAGATAGATAAGAAATATGTCAATTGACTTCACCTTAATAAGGATAGTGTATCCTCTGAGAATTCAGTTCCTGCAGGCTGTTTGTCACTAATATTTCAAAAGAAGAAAAAAATATGTAAGAGTGTAAGCAAAAGAAACTTTGCACAAGGTTATTACCTACTATATAATCAAGTCCTATTTCAGTTTATAGAAAATATCTTTGGAAAGAAACTCTGAGGGCAGCCCGGGTGGCGCAGCGGTTTAGCGCCGCCTGCAGCCCAGGGCGTGATCCTGGATATCCGGGATCGAATCCCACATATCGGGCTCCCTGCATGGAGCCTGCTTCTCCCTCTGCCTGTGTCTCTGCCTCTCTCTCTCCTGCTCTGTATCTCTCATGATTAAATAAAATAAAATCTTAAAAAAAAAAAAAAAGGAAAGAAACTGATAATATTAGGACATACAGAGAATTACAACATGGATAATTTTTGCCCAGATGTGCTTACCATATATTAAATCAAGCCTTCACAAGCATAAATTAAGCAGAGTTAATGTTATAATCAAGCATTCATATGGCTCTTTCAAAAACTCTTCCATAGAACTTTATTTCCATGGATTCAAGTTTAATTTCTTGCCCTCCCCACCAGGCTCCAAATGAACTTTTTTACCAAGTCCCTTCCCCCTTTGCTGAAGTTAAATTTCGCCTCCACAAACACAGCATGACCATTTACACCTTTGGGCCTTCAATGGAACAATTCTACTGTCCTAAAAAGACATTGCGGGGATCCCTGGGTGGTGCAGCAGTTTGGCGCCTGCCTTTGGCCCAGGGCGTGATCCTGGAGACCCGGGATCGAATCCCACGTTGGGCTCCCGGTGCGTGGAGCCTGCTTCTCCCTCTGCCTGTGTCTCTGCCTCTCTCTCTCTCTCTGTGTGTGTGACTATCATAAAAAAAAAAAAAAAAAAAAGACATTGCCTCTTCCGTCCAACTGTAAAAATCAAAAGTATCTTTCAAGTGTCTGCCCAATGCTCACTCCTCTTGGAAGCTATCCATCTCTACTTCTTCAGCATTTAAGTCTATATATTTTAACAAGTTATGTAATGCCTTCTGCTGTTCCTGTTTCATGTCTATAATTCATTTTGTCACAAAATAGCTTATACACTTTATCAGGGCAAAGTTTTTATTTCATCTATCACTGATAACATGACAGTTTCATCTTTCCTATTATTTAATTTTGCAATCACACTTCTGATTTTATCCTTGTTCATTTCTGTCCTGATTTTTATCCTGAGACTGGTGATTTTGATGCTTAACTTGTCCTGATTCTATCTGCCTCCAGGATGGCCTTGATATCTGCTTGGTTCTTGATCTTTATTTTGTCTCTAGTTTCAGTTTTATTCCCTATGTCTAGTGCATTGCAAATTTTTTCAGCTTGACCCTGAATGGCAAGTAAGGGCCTGCTTTGGAGACAACAGAAAGAAGAGAATTCAAAATTGAAGCACGAGACAGGCACGAAAGAGCTTATAGTATCTGAGGATTGGGATGAAGTTCTGTGTTGCTAGAAAGTACCATTTAGGTATGTAGAGAGAGGCTAATGCTTAGGGATTAGGTTGTATATGAAAAAACAAAAGGGGGGGGGGGCTAAATATGGCTTTGTAAGCCATGCCGACAAACTTCCAACTCTCATCTAGCAGGAAACAAAGCCAAAAGAGATTATTAAGCTGGAAAGTGACTTAAACAGATTTATTCTTATGGGATGCTGACTCTAGAAGTCATGTCAAAGATGGATTTGCATGGTACAAAGCTAAGTAATAACCTAGGACACAAGTGATAAGAAGAATATATTAAAGAAGCATGGAGATGGGATTCATAACACTTAGGGAGTTAACTGGACATGTAAGGAGAGTCAGGGTACAGAGACAGATGAGAACATCAAGAGTTCTGTTTAGATATAATGACTATATATCCAATTTGAACTCCAATCCCCACCTCGAAGTAAATAGTTAAGATGAGCAACCTGCAGCAATAAAGTCATGGGACCAAGAAATCCACTGCCAAATCCATCCATCCAGAAATCATAAGGATCTGAGGTCTGGCCTTGAGTTAAGGGTAGAAGAATAGAGGCAATGGACCATAGGTTCAAGAAAAGAACTTTAAAATGGTAGAGTTTATCTTCTTCAATAAGGTTAGCTTCTAAAGCCCAAACGAAAGGTAAAAATCACCCTTGGAAATCCCTAAAGAAATAATTTTGGAGACTGAACTTGTCTCTTACTACAGTAGTTCACCACTTATTTGCAGCTTTACTTTCCACAGTTTCTGTTACCCATGGCTGACTACATCTGGAAGATCATCCTCCAAAGAATCTTATCAGCCTAACACTATGTCATAATGCGTACATCATTACTCTCACTTCATCTTATCAAAGTATTTTATCAGCTCACATTGTCACACTGTCTCAGAACTCAGATATTCTGAAAGACCACATTCACATAGCTCTTATTACATTATCCTGTTAGAATTCTACTGTTGTTGTTAATCTCTTAGTGTATCTAATTTATAAATTAAACTTTATCATAGGTATGTATAGATAGTTAAAAACAGAATATATAAGGTCTGGTACTTTAAGAGGTTTCGGGCCCAGACTAGGGGTCTTGGAACATACCCCCATGGATAAGGGGTCTATGTGTAGGACTGACATAGCCCATTTCCCTTCAGCATTGAAGCAATCACAATTTCTTTCTTTCTTTTTATTTTTTTTTATTAATTTTTTTATTTATTTATGATAGTCACGGAGAGAGAGAGAATGGCAGAGACACAGGCAGAGGGAGAAGCAGGCTCCATGCACCGGGAGCCCGACATGGGAATCGATCCCGGGTCTCCAGGATCGTGCCCTGGGCCAAAGGCAGGCACCAAACCGCTGCGCCACCCAAGGATCCGCAATCACAATTTCTTCAGCTGAGCACCAGACCAAGTGGTTAGGCTACTGTTAAAGATGTAAGAAGAGGGCAGCCTGGGTGGCTCAGCAGTTTAGCGCCGCCTTCAGCCTATGGAGACCCAGGATCGAGTCCCACGTCAGGTTCCCTGCATGGAGCCTGCTTCTCCCTCTGCCTGTGTCTCTTCCTCTTTCTCTATCTCTCTGTGTCTCTCATGAATAAATAAATAAAATCTTAAAAAAAAAAAAAAAGATGTAAGAACAACGTTTAAAACACATTTCTCAGTATACTGGGGCCCATGATGGGGGATGTGAGATCTGAGAACTAAGGGGCACAGATGAGATTCAAGTTTTCAAACTTAACAGTTTCAGAGCACATGCTGCCTGAGACTGTACACTATTTAAACCACTATTTTGCTTAGCACATACAACAATTTACAAAAACCATGAAGTAATTGTACAGTATTCCAAATATCCAAATGGTAATAATCAAACATGCCCTCTATAATAATTGTTTGTTAAAAATGTCTCACCAGCAACATGTTCACATAGAGATGCATCCATGAGATTAAAAATAATGAATTTACAAACCTTTTTCCTACATCCAAATGAGCTTCAGTTTCCATTTCAATATTGTTACCATTAGGTTTATCTTGAGAAATTGTTCTTGACCTTTTACTTTCCGCTACTTTTGTTGCTGCCTTAAAAAGTGGGGTTGTGGAAGAGGAAGGAATCCATTAGGTCATTTTGAACAAATAGTATTAAAAATAAAGCCTTCTAATATTTTGATAGTCATAACCAATTTATCTGTTCACAGGTCAATAAAAAGACTGCATTGTGTTCTCTCCAGTAACTATGACATCAACAGCAGCTGCTTTAGTTACCTGCTTGGTCTATAAGCCTTATGGAGAAAATCTTTCCTTGTATATGTATTTGATACATACAGTGCTTGCTAGGCAATTTTAAGATAAAAGGTTACTTAAAAAAAAAAATCAATAAAAATCCCAGATTGGGGCACCTTTGTGGCTCAGCTGGTTAAGCATCTGCCTCTTGATTTCGGCTCAGGTCATGATCTCAGGGTTGTGGGATCAAGCCCCAGAATGGGCCCCACACTGAGCGTGGAGTCTTCTTGGGATTCTGTCACTCCCCCTGTACCCCCTTAAATAAACAAGCAAAATCTTAAAAATTAAATAAAAATTAAAAAACAATTCTAGGTATCTACTACACTCCCTTAATCAGTACTCCATTATAACATTAAGTTAAAATTAAATCTTTTTAGGGACACCTGAGCGGCTCAGCTGTTGAGTGTCTGCCTCTGGCTCAGGGCATGATCCCGGGATCCGGGACTCATGGAGTCCCACATTGGGCTCCTCGCAGGGAGCCTGCTTCTCCCACTGCCTGTGTCTCTGTCTCTCATGAATAAATAAATCTTAAAAAAAAAAAAAATCTTTTTAAAAGGTTCTTCTTCAGCCCAATTTTACTTTTTCCAAAAACATGTTAAAAATTTCTTTAATCTGTTCTCCCCTCAACTTTAATTCTGAAAAATTTCCCCAACTCTTATTTCATAAAGTTTAAAAACACTGCAAATATCACTAATAAACCCTTTAGATTCACTAATTGTAACATTTTGCCATTCTTCTACAAAATCACTAAATAAAATTCTGATTATTTTTTAAGGATTTCTATTTCAAGTATTCCCCTTTATAATAACAATTTCTCCTTACTCTGAGTCTGAAACATGCATACCTTCATAAGAAAGGTTGATGATTTTTCGTTTATCACATAATCCACATAACTCTTAATTTTCTCCATCATGTGGTTGTAGGTGAAGTGTTGAAAAATGGAGTGAAACGTGTCTTTCTGAGAGATTATCACATGCAATTTCCTTTTTAAAGGCTAAAGACAACAGGAAAAATGTATTAACACATAAATCACAAATAAGATAGAAATTTTATCTTATTTAATTAAAAAATCAAACTCAGAGACACAAAAAGATTTTTTTAAATAAATTCTATTTTAAACGGCTCAGCAATATATTTTTTCTTACTTTAAAAAAAAAACCTGGGATCCCTTGGTGGCGCAGCGGTTTGGCGCCTGCCTTTGGCCCAGGGCACGATCCTGGAGACCCGGGATCGAATCCCACATCAGGCTCCTGGTGCATGGAGCCTGCTTCTCCCTCTGCCTATGTCTCTGCCTCTCTCTCTCTGTATGACTATCATAAATAAAAAATAAAAAAAAAAATAAAAAAATAAATTAAAAAAAAATTAAAAAAAAGTTAAAAAAAAAAAAAACCTACTTTGCATTTCACACACACACAAAAGGATTAAAAAATGATGAACCTGAAAGTCCACTGCCAAGTTTAAGAAAATCTCATCTGGGGCAGCCCCAGTGGCGCAGCAGTTTAGCGCCGCCTGCAGCCTGGGGTGTGATCCTGGAGACCCAGGATCGAGTCCCACATCGGGCTTCCTGCATGGAGCCTGCTTCTCTCTCTGCCTGTGTCTCTGCCTCTCTCTTCGCTCTCTCTGAATGAATAAATAAATCTTAAAAAAAAAAAAAGAAAGAAAATCTCATCTGTACAACTGAAGACATTGTTTACTACCATAATGATTGCACCTCCAGCTTCTCCTCTCCACAAGGTGGCCATTATCTTGAATTTAGTAACTTGCACTAAGTATGAATGTACCTTTAAATATATGGTACTATTTAGCATATGCATATTTTCTGAAACTTGCTATGTTTGCTCAACTCTGTGACATTTATCCATGTTGATTTGATTTTTATAGAATTACTCACTATTAAACAATATTCCACTGATCAAAAATACCATTTATTCATCCATTCTTCCAGCCTTTTGAAAGATTTTAAAAGCTATTTTCTATTACTGCAATACTGTTGAACATTTTTCTACAGGTCTTCTTGTGGACAGTACAAATTTCTCTTGGACATAGTTCTTTCAAGGCTGGTTATACAATAAAAGCTACAGATCCTTAAAAAAATTCTACTTAGGCTCTATTCAGATCAAATTGTCTTAGCAGGGCAAACTGTCTTTTTTTTTTTTTTAAGATTTTATTTATTTATTCATGAGAGACAGAAGCAGAGACACAGGCAGAGGGAGAAGCAGGCTCCATGCAGGGAGCCTGATGTGGGACTCGATCCTGGGTCCCCAGGATCATGCCCTGGACCAAAGGTGGCACTAAACTACTGAGCCACCCAGGCTGCCCTCTTTGTTTTTTATAAATAAAACTTTATGGCTTTTAGGGGAGCCTGGATGGTTGAATGGCTAACTCCTGATTTTGGCTTAGGTCATGATCTCAGGGTTCTGGGATCAAGCCCTGAGTTGGGCTCTACACTCAGTGGGAGTCTGCTTAAGATTCTCTCCCTCTGTCTTTCCCCTCATTTGGGCTCTAAAATAAATAAATCAATCTTGAAAAAACAAACTGAAAAACCCGTTCATGGCTTTTAAAATGGGCAGCAAGAATAAAAACAATTACTTTAGGGTATTTACCTAGAAGTAGAATTGCTGGAATGCATACTTACAGATTTTGCTAAAATGCTCTCCAAAGTTTAAGTACTAATTTATAGCACTAAGAAGGTATGGCAGCCTTAACATTTCCCCACTCTTTGAGTCAACTGTTAGTATTCTAAGATATTTTAATCATTGTCAGTCTGAGGTATAGGAATACTATTTCAATATATCACATGGTATTGCCCTGATTACTCACGCTAGTGAGGTTAAACATTTCCTCTTATGCTTACTGGCTGTAAGGTTTCCTCTTCTGTGAAGTACAGAGTGGGGTTTGCAGTAGCCTAACAGTGCTAAGGCAAAAAAGTAGAGGCAAGGAACCCAATAAACAGATCAGGCTCTCAGCTGAAATCTCTGGAGGGTTATACCCTAGGAACAGGGGCAAATTAGAGACAGACCGAGCCTTAATAAAACTTCAACCAACTCTAGACTCAGCACAGTCCCTCAACAGATTAAGGTGACCACCCCCCAACTCTCTACAAGCACAGAAAAAGGTGCTCAATTTCACTAGTCAAAGAAAGAGAAACTAAAACCCAATGTGATACTACTACATATTTGCCAGAATCACTAAAAGGAAAACTACAGAGAAGGTCTGTGAAGCAAGTACAACTCTTCCACACTACTGAAGGAATGGACAGAACCACTTTAGAACACTGTTTGGCAATATCTACTGAAACCGATTATGTACATATCTGATAACCCATCAATTCTATTCCTAAGTATATAACCAATAGAAACACATATGTAGTCTACAAAGGATATGTAAAAGAATGTTAATAGCCAAAACCCGGAAATAAATGTTGCTCAACAGTAGAATGGAGAAGTTGCATATTCCAACAATGGAACATTGAGAATAAATGAACTATTGTTACAAGCAACTCCATGGATCAATCTTACATAAACTTGCTATATGATTGCATTACATAAACTTTGGAAACAAGTAAAACTAATCTTGGATGTTATAAGTCAGGATAGTGGTTATCCTTAGGAAGGTGGGAGGGATAGTGACCGGAGGGTGCTGGCAATGTTCTTTTTCTTGATCTAGGGGGTCATCACAAAAGCATGTTTCTTTTGTGAAAACACATCTCTTTATACACTATATTACATGTATGCTACTAAAGGTATGCTGCTGTTCAATAAAAAGTTCACAAAAAAATGTATAAAACTGGGGATCCCTGGGTGGCTCAGCGGTTTGGTGCCTGCCTTCGGTGGGGGCCTGATCCTGGAGACCCGGGACTGAGTCCCACGTCAGGCTCCCTGCATGGAGCCTGCTTCTCCTTCTGCCTGTGTCTCTGCCCCCTCTCTCTTTTTTTTTCCTCTCTCTCTCTGTGTCTCTCATGAATAAATAAATAAATAAAATCTTTTTAAAAAATGTATAAAATTATCATTTCTTTAAGTTTTATTCCAACAATGCTTTGTTTTTAATATTTAAAAACTAAGTTCAATTGACCTTAACATTACACATATACACAAAAACTACTAATGATCACGTAAGAAACCTCTAGAAATAAGCTAATTATAATGCTTTTTTTCTGGCGGTACTTGGGTAGTTCAATAGGTTAAGCAGCTGCCTTCAGCTAAGGCCATGATCCCAGGGTCCATCAGACTCCCTGCTCACCGAGAAGTCTGCTTCTGCCCCTCTCCCCTGCTCATGCACATGCTGGCACTCTCTCTTTCTCCCTCCATCTCAAATAAATATATGAACAAAATCTTTTAAAAAATGCTTTTTTTCTCTACTTGTGCTGCCCAATATAGTAGCCATTAGCCATAAGTAGTTACTGACCCCTTGAAATGCGAGACCTGAATTTAGATAGAAGTATAAATACACACCAGATTTCAAAGACTCAGCACAAAAAACAAAGTGTAAAATATTCCACTAATACTTTTTTATGTTGCTTAAACATTAAAAGTAATGTTTTTGGATATATTTTGGGCTAAATGAAATATTAAAATCCATTTCACTAGGTTTTTTGACTTACTATGCCTACTAAAACACATATGACTTGCAATTATATTTCTATTGGACAGCACTGCTCTATACTGTTTAAAAGATAAAGCATCCCTTTCTTCCTCTAGTGTTCTTTCATTTACTTCCATAGAAGCAGTTCTAAAAATTCTGATTCTAATTTAAACAACTACCTCATAAGAATTCGGGTCATCAAATATTCTTTCAAAGACTTCTTCTGCTTCTTTAAAATTGCCGTTTTCCATACAAACAGCTATAGCCTAAAGGACAGGATGACAAATACACATCTTAGATTATTTTTTAAAAATGTAAAGTTGCTGTTTAACATTGAAGTAAGTCTTGTTACGTCTAAACTACTTCACTATCTTTTCAAAGATGAAAACTGTGGTTTGAAAAAGATGTAAAAATTTTTCATTGGCCCCTTGCATATTTTATTTGCTAGTTAATGCCCAGCTTTCTAGATCTTTTGAATTTAGGCCAATTAAAAGCAGACATTAATAAACAAATTAGGAACTACATTATGTACATTTAAGACCCACCTAAATATTAATTTTAGCAAAAGGAAAATGAGGGAGGAGGTAGATGGTGTTCATGACAGGAGGATATATAAAATTAGCTAGTTAGGATCCCTGAAAAATCTCTAATAGAAAGCTAGGAAGCCAGATGATTCTGAATGATCATTTGATAAATTGGCCTTTCTGATACTGTAGTAAAATAGGGACCCATCATTACCATCTGGGTAGGTCTGTAAACTTTGACAAGCTATTTAACCTTCTGTGCCTGTTTTTTGTATGTCAAATGGTGGAGATATAAGCACCTACTTGTAGGGCTGCTATAAGAATTGAAGTTCTACATGAAAAGTGCTTAGAATAGTACCTGACAAATAGTAATGTATTACATGTTTGCTATGTATTTACAGTAACCTACTCAACTTTATTTTAGTATATTAATGATGGTCTCCTTCTCTAGAAAGCCCCAAAACAGACATAACAAAACTCTCTGTCCCAGGCTGAAATTCTTAAAAGTAGCAGTCATATTTCTGCCCATTCTCTTCCAGTTTAATTCTACTGGACAGTCACCATACTAACAATAATTAATTTTTGGGAAGGTGGGACATCACCTGGATTTTCTCTCCTACCCAACCATAAAATAATTTTCTAAAAATGAAGACAAATTTATTTAACTAGAACAATCCTTAGTATTTGCTCTGCCCATTAGCAAAATATACTTTCCCTGCTATTTTATCTTTGGATGACTTTTTTAGCTTCTCACTCTTCAATAGGTTACTCCTTAAATTTCCTCTACAAGGTTAAAATTTTACATTATCTTATTTATAAAAATCCACTGATTCCTTACTGAATACTTTTTTTTTCATATTTGTAATCTTGAATAGAAATTGGGAGAGCACAAAGCACTGGTTTTTGAAAGTTGCTTTGTGATTTTTAAATCAATGCAGTATATTTTCTTACGTGGGGGCAATACATACTTAAGTAGCAAACATTAAGTCCGAGTTATTACAGCATGCATCAAGACTATAAACCAAAGGTCAATTTACTAAAGAGAATGATTATATTAAGTTTTACTTTGAGTTTACCACCCAACTTCTATTAAGTGGCCCTTAGTTTCTTTAGATGTGTTTATTTTCTAGCAAAATAATAATAATGCAATACACATACATACCTGAATTTTAATTAAATTCTGTATTTCTTCATGAAGCTTGTCATGTTCTGTTTCCATTGAAGCCCAAATCATTAGGGCTGATTCCAAGGGTGTAATTTGTTCATCAGTTTCAAATTGTGCATCTTTTAAAACCAGAACAAAGATAAGTAACTTAGGAAGCTAAGTAGAACCTTACTTTGTCAGTTTTTTATGAATTAATTTCTTTAAATATTTTCTGAGTATATACTATGTACCAGGCACTATTACTGTATCCAACAGGTTAGCCAAGTGATTTTTCAAGTTAATTTCCTTTTCCTTCTTTGAAAAATTAGAAGGAGCATGCAATTTAAATGTTAGCAGCTTCAACAATTTCTACTTTATTTCCTATTGTCTTCTCCTAATTGTTTCTCCAATATTTTAAACATAAAAATATATTAATTCATATACAAAGTCTCTCTATATTTCAGGCCCTGTGTCAGATATTTAGGATACGACTAGGAAGAAAAAGACAGTTCCTGCCCTTATGAAATTTATATGCCAGCTATGAAAAAAGACAAACCAATGTGATTGGTACTTTACCAAAATTATTTATTATGCCGGTGTTCTCAACCCTACCTATGCCTCGAAATCATCTGAGGAGCTTTAAGAAAAATACAGATGCCTAGACCCGTCCTTTAGAGATTGATTTAATTAGTACAAGGTAGAGCCCCGTGTATCTGTATATTCCAAAAACTCTCTAGGAGGGTTTAGTGTATCTGAGAAATAGAAGATTAGCTCTATGAAAGGATACCAGAAAAGAATCCTTTATGAAAGAGAAACCATCCAAATTGGGACATTTAAGATAAATAGGAGATAACTAAGTGAAGAGGATAAGGAGGGGAAGGAGAACATTTTAGGAAGGCAGCAACAGAACATAAAGTACAGGAGGACAAAAGATATTCACACTCATAGTCAACACATATTAAGGTCCTACTATATGTTAGGCGCTATACTAAGTGCCTAAGGTGCAGTAGCTCCATTATCCACACAATTTCTTTAAAAGAGTATATAATATATAACATTATCAACCTTGTCTTATAAAGTAGGACCTGAGACACAGCTAGCAAGTAGCAGAAGTGGACATCAGAACCCTTAAAAACCAGTACTGTGTCTCAGAAACAAGTTCTCCCTGTGTTTCAGGAATAACAGGATGCCTGCTAAGTCTAGAGTACATGCTGGAAAGCATGAAATATGAAAATGCAAAGGCAGATTGCCTAATCCTTCTTCATTTCACATTGGTTTTTCTTTTAAAACCTCATTTCAATATTTGTATTTCCTATTCTTTTTGGACTGACATTATCTAACCCATCTCATGAATCTGTTGGCCTCTTATAAATGTGAGATATAGAAAAAAAATGTGTCTATGTTAAATCTTTAGAATGTTTTTAGTAGACTTTCACTTTCAGGTAGAATGTAGGACACTGCAGTAGGCCAACACTCTCATTACATGTAGAACAAAGTAGGGTAAGTTGCAAAATCATATTGCTAAAGACATGGAATAGTGGTAGAAGCAAGAGAACTAGATGAACTACATTTCCAGGGGTGAGGTGAGTGGATGATTTATAGCTTTTCTTCCCTGGCTTTGTTTGCTTATAAGGATGAGAATTCAGTGTATTCCAGGCAGGGAGATTTTACTGGGGTAAGGTAAATGAAGGCTTTTAGTGGTTTCCTTGGGGCTAGCTTGGTGGACTAGAAATTAGGAGAACTGAAAACACATGGTTGGTTTTTGCCTCAGGACACTTGCTGAATTCTGGAGCACTGCAGAAAGCTGAAGTGGAAAGGAAGGAAGTCTCCCAGAGTCCTCAGATCGAGTCCTACATCGGGCTCCTTGCTCAGCAGAGTCTGCTTCTCCCTTTGCCTGCCACTCCCCCTGCTTGTACTCTCTCTCTCTCTGGCAAATAAAGAAAATCTTAAAAAAAAAAAAAAAAGTATAAAATATATCCGAGATTTCTAAGACTGCAAAAAAAGGGGTAAAATATCTCATTAACACGTTTTATACTGATTTTATGTTGATATATAGTTCAGAAATATTGGGATAAGATACTGCTAAAATTAATTCTACCTATTTCTTTTAAATTATATATATAGCTCACATATTTCTACTAGGCAGTGCCACTATTGAGCAACCACTTTATTAAAAAAAAAAAGCAAGAGTTACGCATAACTGAAAATCCAACATGCAAATTAAAATAAAATTTAGCTGCCTCACTTGAGTCCATTATGCTGAGATATATTGATTCTTGATAATTGACATGGGTCTATTATGTCTAAGATATACCTAAAAGGGGATCCTGGTGAATTTCAAGATCAATGGGGTCACACACAAAAATCTGCATTTCTTTACAGAAAGAAAGGACAGGTTGGGGGACAAGTTGTAGGGGAAAAAAAGTAAGATTCACTGAACAATTGCTAATATACGAAACAAAGTTGGCATTTCAGAATATGCTGTCATATTTAATTTACAAAACAACTGTTAACAACCACACTAGCTTATTGTCTACATGGTCAAGAATTCTACAATTATGTCTACATTCAGACGGTTTTCTTCTTTAGCTACAGGCCCAGACTACCTATAATTCTGTCTCCCTAACATTTACTCTGCTTCTAATCCTATTCACTTACAGGCCAGCTTCACTACCAAAATGGAGCATACTATGTAAGCCAGAACTAGATAGTGAGGGCCATGAGAGTGGTATTGGGATTTTATATTGGGATTTTATGTAACACAACAGGATTATAAGTAAGCAGCTCATGTTAAGTACCACCTACCACCTGGTACTGTTGGGAAAGCATTTCATAAATTGTAAAAGCCAACATAAATATGTAATTATTTGCAACAAAAGGTGCTTGAAATAACCATGTTGTGGGGCAGCCCGGGTGGTTCAGCGGTTTAGCGTCACATCATGTCAGGCTCCCTGCGTGGAGCCTGCTTCTCCCTCTGCCTATGTCTGTCTGTCTCTCTCTCTCATGAATAAATAAATAAAATCTTAAAAAAAAAATGACCATGTTGTAAGTATCAGCCATTTCTAATAAACTGAAGCAGTCTTGGGCAGCCCTGGTGGTGCAGCGGTTTAGTGCCACCTGCAGCCTGGGGTGTGATCCTGGAGGCCTGGGATCGAGTCCCACGTCGGGCTACCTGCATGGAGCCTGCTTCTCCCTCTGCCTGTGTCTCTGCCTCTCTCTCTCTCTGTGTCTGTCATAAATAAATAAAACTAACTAACTAACTAACTAAATAAATAAACTGAAGCAGTCTTGCCTGTTACAATCTAAAACAACCTGTGGCGATAAAGGAGGGATATTATACCTACAAATCATATTTGCCTATCTAAAGAAGTGCTGAAATCCAGTTCAAATAAGAGGTGTCAAGTATCATAGTTGCTAGTAAAAAAATATATATATGATAGTAAAAGAGTCACCACAAAGTTACCATATAGTCAAATTTGAAATGAACTCTCCAAGACTGTTCATGAAGTGTGGCTCCTCAGTAACAGTGTTAGAATCACTGGGGAAGTTACTAGAAATATAAATTCCAGAGCCCTTCTCATCCAACCTATTACATCAGGAATTCATGATGGGGAATTCTGTGTGTGTGGGTGTTTTGAACAAGTTCTCTAATAATTCTGAAAAAAACTAAATTTGACAACCAGTGCTCCAAAAGGATTAGAACTATATTTCTTTTACTTTGCTTTAGATACGCTTCTGTAGATGTACATGCCAAATACATTGTGCCAACTCTCAAAAACAAGTAATAACTCCCATCTGTTTCTTCTCATCATTTTACCTTTAGGCATAGATTGAAATATTTCCAAAGTAAGATAAAAACATATTTACCGAGGGATTTTCCTGCTGCGATTCTTGTCAAAAATTGACATATGTGTATAGTTCTCAGTTGATAAGCTGTTAGACTGGACAGTCCATGAATAATAGCTGAAGAAGAAAAACATGAATTTTATTAAAACATTTTTTTTTTAAAAAGCCAAACTTGACCCAGCAGTGCCTGTGTGGTTGGTTAATAGGTTACAAAACAAGAAAAAACTGTCACAAACCGAGAGCTGTATGCTTTTATTTACGGGCAATTTTTTTTAAATGAGAAAAATAGCAATGGACACGTCTTGCAAAATAAAAACAGATTTTCATATGCAGATAACATTTAATAGTACTTCCACAGGTAGCACTCTATACTAACAAAAGGGGCGATTTGTTAGTATAGAGATTCAAACTGCAAAACGTGTCAAATCATTAGCTGGAAGCTTATGTCTTAAAACCTCTAATACTATAGGAATATTTTATATTTTGGTCAAGGTTCCAGTTAAAAGGGAGTCTGTTAAGTTGACAAAGATCTTAAAAATATATTTATTGGGGCAAGATGGCCGCAACAGGGATGGCCCGGTGGTGTGGGGGGAGGGGGGGCTAGATACTAGGCCCCGTGCCTTTCCTGTGAGCTCTGCGGATCAAGTGGGCTCACAGCCCAATCTGACAAACACGTTGGCTTTTCTCAATGTGGGCACACTGAAATAAAGCCTCTGCCCCAACAGGCAACTCCAGCATTCCACAGGCCTGACCTGGAAGCTCCCGGAGGGCTGCAGTGTAAGCACCAGATGGAGGTATGAGGCCAGTCAAGCTGGTCCTGCTGTCCCTGACAGGTGTGACGCTGAGCACCCTATGGGCCCAGGGAGGCAAGGCCTCCCTCAGGGCAGCCATCTCTGCTGGTTGCTCTGCCAAGCAGAGGCTCTGGTGCAGGGGGAGCAGTTGTCAGTGGGCATGTCAGATCTGCCATGCTGGCTGGTGGAAGAGTTTGTGGTGGCTGAAGAAGGTGCTCCATGTTCTAATTCCCAGGCTAAAACCACCTCAGGTGGAGTTCCTCAGAGTATGTGGAGAAAATCATGTGCAGTTCATCTAAGAGGAATGTTCAAAAGCTGCTGCTCAGCTCTAATGTAACAACACTTGTTCTGGAAATTTGAAGAGGCTACTGAGAGCATGGTTTTGTTCATTTGTGACAGTTGGACAGAAAAGCTCTGGAAAAGTCCTGGAAGCAAATCAAGTCCCTGTAGAGGTCTTTTACACTTTGATAAAGGTCTTAGGGACAGTACCTCAGAAGTAGACAGTACAATGAATGGGCTCATGTTCCTCATTCTTGGGACTTGTGGTCATCCCCTTCTTTGTCTCCTGTCTAGATCATTACCAAGCAAAACAAAAGAGAATGGTTCCCTTTCCTATTGTAACTTGATTTGGGACAGGAAGTCACGGAACCAGACATGGAAAAGGGGTGGCAACCTTAGGCCCCAGTTTACCAACTACCTATATCTTCCCCTTCTGCTACTGATTTAAAACTTTCAGGATACAATTTCAGCAAAAAAGTTTATTTCTCAGAACCTGTTTCTCCTCAACACTAACTTCAAAGAAGAAAAACTGTAGATGTATAAAAACAAATTTATTAATATTAATTTCCCAAATATTTGAATGCCCGCCCAGATATTATGAGTATAATGGGGCATAAGCCATAATCGTAGGCCTCAGTGTGTTTATTATTACTATGTAGTTAACAAAAGACAAATGATTAAATGATTAAAAAACATGGAGAAAACTGAAAAACTACAGAATGCTGTGATGCATGTAACAAACCTTTAGAGTGTGTTTTAGTAGCTAGCTGGAGAAGTTGGAAAGCTTCTCTGAGGAAATCATGTTTAAAGACCTGAAGACTGTTACACTTCACCCAGGGCGACCAAAAGCAGTCGTCCTGCAGCTACCAAAGAAATAAATATTTTTTGTATGTATTTCCTCAATTCTAAACTAGCATAATCTTATGTTATTCTAGAGATTATCCAGACGAAATATAGCCACAATTTAAACAGGATTCAGAGAGAACAGAAAAGTTATATAAAATTTAAACAATTCATTCAATACTTACTAAACATCTACTGCTACCCAATGTCAGGGACTAATAAGACAGCCAGCCCCTGCCCCTCAGGAAGGTTTTAGTTTGAGAAGACATAACTCAAAATTTATGTCAGTTATGATTTAAAATTTTAATGCCACCAAGGTTAAGTATGGTATAGAAGGAAAACAAAAGGACCTGCGCCATCCTAGAGAAGAAAGTCAGACCTCCATCTTCACTTCACTCTATGTTCAATTTAGTCCACTATGCAATAACTACAAATATCCCACATAGCACTGCCCTTTTTCCTCACCTGTAACAAAACACTGCTGACAGAAAAACACATTAGGGACATCAAATGACTAGCTTTAACAGCAACTGTATTTAAGCACTGATAATACCAGGCACTATTCTAAGCACTTTACACCAGTGGTTTTCAACTAGGGATGAATTTGTCCCCTAGGGACATATGGCAGTGCTGAAGACAATTCTGATCATCATGAGTAGAAGGGGTGTGCCCCTAGCATTTAGTAATTGAGGTCAGGGAGGCTGCCAAACATTCTACAATGTACAGGAGAACCTCCACCTTCATGCCTACACAACCCCTGCCCCCACCATGCATTCATAGAATTACATGGTTCAAATGTCAGTAGTGCTGAGGCTGAGAAACTTTGCTCTATACCTGAGAAACAGCTCTGTGATATAGATACTATTATCACCATTTTACAGATGAGGAAATCGAGGTACCAAGAGGTTAGTAACTTGCTTCAGGCCTTACAGCTAGAAAATTGCAAAGCCAGGAATCAGACTCAGACCATTTATTCTGGGGCCCACACTCTTAATCACTATCTTTACACTGCTTCCCATGGAGAAAGAGAGGTTAGGAATACAGTCTAGAAAAGGCATTATCTGAGGTAAGGGAGATGCGTGAGAACAATTCTGAGTCAGAATGAAAGAGCTAGGGCAGCCCGGGTGGCTCAGCAGTTTAGTGCCGCCTTCAGCCCAGGGTGAGATCCTGGAGACCCGGGATCATCCCATGTTGGGCTCCCTGCATGGAGCCTGCTTCTCCCTCTGCCTGTGTCTCTGATGAATTAATAAATAAAATCTTAAAAAACAAAACAAAACAAAACAAAAACAACAGTTTCCTCTTCTCTGGGTTTCTCTGCCCTTAACCTTAAAATAATAGAGGTAACCTAGATTATTCTTTGGGGCTTGATCTAGAACCTCAAAAGAAGTCTTTATTTTTCAGAAAGGTAATTCTGTAAATTAACAGAATTACTATGAAGATATTAGTCCTATATACCCTCCACCCAGTTCCCCCTATTAGTCTGGTATATATTACATTAATGAGCCAACATTCATAACGTTTAAAGTTCCTAGTTTTCCTTAGTTTTTACTTAACTTCCTTTTTCTGCTTGCAAATCCCACGCAGGGCACATTACATTTACTTATCGTGTTTCTTTAGGTGTCTCTTGGCTATGAAAGTTTCTGACTTTCCTTGGTTTTGATGACCTTGGCAGTTTGTACTGGGATTTGTCTGCTGTTTTTCTTACAATTTGACTGGGGTTAATGGGTTTTGAGAATATCAGAGTTCCATTTCAACACATCATATCAAGTATAGATACTACCAAATGTCACTCTTCTTGTTGACCTTGATTACGTAGGCGTGAAGTAGTGCTTGCTAGATTTCTTGAATGTGAAGTTTTCCTCCCTCCAATTCCATACTGTAGTTTTCAGAATAGTCACCATGCACAGTACACTTAAGGAGTGGGGTGTTATACTTCACCTCCTTGTGAAGGAGTGGAGTGTTATACTTCACCTCCTTGAGGATATAGCAGCTACATAAATTACTGGGGATTCTTCTGCATGAGATTGTTTTTTCCTGCCATTTATTTTTTCCATCTTTAGTTACATCAATATGTATGGACTCATAATTATTTTACCTTTGGATTCTAATCCAAACTATTTTCTTGCTTGAGTTGCTCTGGCCATTGCAAGCTCTGCAGTTGCTTCTGTGTCCCTTTGTGTTGCCACCATTGTGGGTTTTTCTGTTTGGGGGTCTGGTTTTTAAGTACTCCCTTACTTTCTGGCACAAGATGCTCCAGGTTCATCTTGCATATTTCCTGTCCAAGAATCAAGCCATTTTTCCAAAGAGCTATTGTTCCCTTTATTAAGGAATGGTATTAGAGACCAAGACTGGAGTGCTAGGTTGCTACGTAGGGTTCCATTGCTTCTGTGCCCTTTCATCTAACAGAACAAAGAAATATATGAGCATATACTAACCTGTGCCTAGATATGTACAGAAATACATATGCAACGACTGTAAAAACCACTGGCCCAAAATGGTCATTCAGGCTGAGTCCCCAATCCGGGGCCTAACACCAAATCTAACTGTCCTTTCAACCTCCCCCAGAAATACAGTCTTAACCTGTTGGTGAGGAATTTTGTGAATGGAGCCAAAGAGCCAGCCAAATGTCCCCTCTCCATCCCCCAAAGGAAGATGAGGTAATCTACATAATGAACTCATTATCGGGATTTAACGTTTTCATAAATGTTAATTAACCACGGCATCTGTGATATCTGATACAGGTGGAGGGCCGGTTCTTGAGCTGGAAGATAAGGCACAGACGTGGTCACAATCCTTTTCATCTACCAATACTTGAGGCCGCTAGATTAGTCCACTCTATAAACTAAGATCACTTACCTAAGGAATGGGCTTACTATGAAGATGAAATGTGTCAATATAGTTTTCTGAAGTATTTAATTTTATATTAAATAGAGCATTTTTCTGTCATCATTGAAAAAGCCAGGCCAAGTCACTCTTTCTCTAGGGGTCTGTATCTTTGTCTCAGTTACAGACTGTGGTGTCTTAGGTAGGAAATGTCACTGACAGTTATTTTTATCCCGCAGCCTAGACTGTGCAGGCATGCAAAAGGAGATGTAAAAACGTCACAATCGGACCCCCGATTCTTGGGTCCCTTGGAGGCCACTGTGCTTCATAAATGCCATCCCAGGGGATCCCTGGGTGGCTCGGCGGTTTGGTGCCTGCCTTCAGCCCAGGGTGTGATCCTGGAGTCCCTGGATCCAGTCCCACGTCGGGCTCCCCGCATGGAGCCTGACTCTCCCTCTGCCTGTGTCTCTGCCTCTCTCTCTGTGTCTCTCATGAATAAATGAATAAAATCTTAAAAAAACAATACATGCATGCATGCATGCCATCCCAGAAATACCGGAGTTGAAAAAAATACAAGCGCCAGAGAAGAAAAAAGACGTGGCAATTTCACACATTTTTTAAAAAAGATTTTATTTATTCATGAGAGACAGAGAGACACAGAGAGGGAGGCAGAGACACAGGCAGAGGGAGAAGCAGGCTCCATTGACCGGGAGCCCGACGTGGGACTCGATCCCGGGGCTCCAGGATCACGCCCTGGGCCGAAGGCGGCGCTGAACCGCTGAGCCACCCGGGCTGCCCGATTTCACACATTTTCAGTCACCAAATCCTGTTATCAATTCCAAACGGGAGTCTCACTCTTTTTACTGAAGAGAAAACAATTAGAATGAGAAAACCTGAGAGGCTGAAAACAGGCGGATGCGTGATTGGAACCAACAACGTTCATTTCACTCGGAGCCTCGGCGGCTCGGAGCCTCGGTCCCCGGGGTCTGCCCTCGCCCCCGCCCCCGCCGCCGCCCCCGCCGGGGCCGCAGCGCCGCAAGCCCGGCCAGCCGAGGTGCCCGCGCGCGCGGCGTGTGTCGCCCCCAGGCCCGGCGCGCCCAGCACTCACCCTCGGCGCTGTCGCGGGCCCGGTGGAAGTCCTCGGAGCGGCCGTCGCGGAAGGCCCGGCAGAGCGACAGGCAGAGGAAGTCGAGCATCCAGCCGGCAGCTACCGCCTCGGCCTCGGCCACCGCGCCCGCGTCCTCTTCTTCCTCAGGGTCCCCCACCTGCACCTGGTATTCGAGCAGTTCCTGGCACTCAAACTGCTCCTGGTCATCTCTCGGCTTTTCTGCCGTCGCCTCTTCCGGGGGCGCCGCGTCCTCCCCGTCCGCACAGCCCCGCGGGCTCGGAGCCGCGGAGGGAGCACTTTCCGCCATGTTTGGTGGCTCGCGCGGGCCCGCCCCTCCTGGCGCCGAGCGACGATTGGCTGGCACTGAAGGGCTCTGCACGGTGCCCGCGAGGGTCTCTTCCGCCGGCGAGGAACCACCAATCACGGTGCTCGGATGGGCGAGCGACTTGAGCCTTGCTTCTGATTGGCCGAGCCTTGCTCCCGCCCCTGGATGTTGAATTCCCCGCCACGCTGGGCGGATTCTGGTTGGTAAACGGGCCGGCCGCAACCCCCGGGCGACCTGGGGCCTGGGGAGGGAGGGGCCGCCTAGCGCTCCTGGTAAAATGAGGCAGGGATAGGAATGGCGACACGGTTAGTTCAAATAGAAAAGCGTTTTATCCGTGGTATACTTCAAAAAGGTAGGTTATTTAAAAGAAAACAAAACAAAACAAAAAAAAAACACCAGTTAGGTTATTAGAACCTGTCCCCGTTTTTCAGGGATAACGCTTTAGACGCTAGGATCCCCCAACCCAAACCCTTCCAGCGGACTTACGTCCCTGCCTCTGCAACCTTAGTGCATCACAGGTACCTCGGGGGCTTGTGAAAACGTAATCGCTGGGCTCCGTTCCCAGAGTTTCTGTTCCGTGGGACTGCATTGAGATTCTCGAATTTGCAAGTCTAACACGTTCCTAGTTGATGCTAGGCTGCTTGTCTGGGGACCACATTTTGAGGATCACTGCTCTAGAAAGAGTATATTACTAGGGAAATGGATTTAATCAGGTTTTTTTTTTTTTTAAAAAAAGGATTTTATTTATTTGTTCATGAGAGAGGCAGAGGGAGAAGCAGGCTTCCTGCGGGGAGTCGCATGCGGGACTGGAACCCAGGACCCCGGGATCCGGACCTGAGCCAAAGGCAGACGTTCAACCACTGGGCCACTCACGTGCCCCTAATTAGGGTTTTAAACAGATTATGGGGTTCAGTAAATAATAAGTGAACATTTATTTTGAAGTTTGAAACTTAGAGTATAAGAGGGAATGGGGATCTCGTTATATTCTGTTTCTCTACGTGGGTGATATTTACTTTTGATCATGATTTATGCACTTCCAATATTCATTTTTTTTAAGATTTTACTTATTTATTCATAGAGACCGAAAGAGAGAGAGAGGCCGAGACACAGGCAGAGGGAGAAGCAGGCACCATACAGAGAGCCGGACGTGGGACTTGATCCGGGGTCTCCGGATCACGCCCTGGGCTGCAGGCGGCGCTAAACCGCTGCGCCACCAGGGCTGCCCACTTCCAATATTCAATATGAATAAAGAGTCTACTCTTAAACTCTTTTTCTTTTTTTTTTAATATTTTATTTATTTATTCATGAATGTCAGAGAGAGGGAGAGGCAGAGGGAGAAGCAGGCTCCATGCAGGGAGCCCCATGTGGGACTCGATTCCAGGACTCCAGGACCACGCCCCAGCCAAAGGCAAGCACTAAACCGCTGAGCCACCCAGGGATCGCCTTAAACCCTTTTTCTTTATGACACATGCAACATTATCAAGGCTTTTTGTGTTCTATACATTTGTTATTGCCTTAAGGCCATAGTTTAGATATGGATTTGAAGAAACCTCCCCCCTTGTAAGTAGGGCCAGCCCTAACCCAGAGGCAGCCCATCCAGGCGTCTTCATGAAATTTTAGCAACTAAAAGCATTCTGTTTACAATAAGAAAACCATTTCCCCCCCCCCACACACACACACCCTGATTGGAATGTCCCTGAATAGGTTCATGTTGACCCTCCCCGAAATCAACCTGGATGCCATGCGACTCCCGCGGTTCTTTTGTCTTTAGGCAGTTTCTTTCCTTTTGCCTTTTAAAAGATACCTGTAATTGCTAATCGGGGCTCTTTTCCTCCTCGGAGGCGGAGAGCCCGTTTGCGCAAACGTTCAATAAACCCTCTTGCTAATTGCATCTGCCCGTCTGGGGTCTGGGTCTCTGGGGCGTCCACCGGGCCACGTTGGCACCCGTGAGCCAGGGTCCAACAATATGTGTGATAAACCGTATTATTACTGGTAGTTTCTTCCTCTCCATTTTTTTCTGTTTCTTCTTTCTAGAACTCCTGATAGAAAATCATTTAATCATTTTCAAAATCTTTTCTCTTGATAAAAATAGTTCTTTTATCTTTTTGGTTTTGCTTTCTGGGAAATAGTTTCAATTGAGGTATTTCTTTTGAAATTCTTATTTCCATTAACTTATTTTTTAATATCTAGAAGCTCTATCTTTTCCTTTGAATATTCCTTTTTTTTTTTTTTGTCTTTTAAAGGTTTCATTTATTTATTCATTAGAGAGAGAGAGAGAGGCAGAGACACAGGCACAGGGAGAAGCAGGCTCCATGCAGGGAGCCCCATGTGGGACTCCATCCCAGGATTCAATCCCGGGACTCCAGGATCACACCCTGGGCTGAAGGCAGGCGCCAAACTGCTGAGCCACCCAGGGATCCCACCCTGAATATTCCTTTTTATTTTTATTTTTTTAAATTATTTTATGTATTCATAGAGACACAGAGAGAGAGGGAGAGAGAAAGAGAGAGAGAGAGAGAGAGAGAGGCAGAGGCACAGGCAGAGGGAGAAGCAAGCTCCATGCAGGGAGCCTGATGTGGGACTCGATCCAGGGTCCCCAGGATCAAACCCTGGGCTGCAGGCAGCGCTAAACCGCTGCGCCACCAGGGCTGCCCTGAATATTCCTTTTTAAAAAGTGCTTACTGTTCTTGTTTCACAGACATTATATTTTCTTTTTTATCTTTCTTTTTTTTTTTTTTTACTTTTTTTTAAATTTTTATTTATTTATGACAGTCACACAGATAGAGAAAGAGAGGCAGAGACACAAGCAGAGGGAGAAGCAGGCTCCATGCACCGGGAGCCCGACGTGGGATTCGATCCTGGGTCTCTAGGATCGCGCCCTGGGCCAAAGGCGGGCGCTAAACTGCTGCGCCACCCAGGGATCCCCTTTCTTTTATCTTTCATTGGATATATATTATGGTTTGTCTCTACCCTAATTAATTCTGATTTCTGTCTCACCTCTTTGTTATTCGCTTGTTTTGGTTTCCCTCTTTAATATTAAATGCTTTCCTCAATTGCCTCAAAATCCTTGTTTATATTTGAGAATAGAACACTAAAAAAAACCTAACTGGAAGTATAGGGGAGGAAAAAATTTTTCTCTACCCTTCTAGGTGCTTGTGTGTGGTCTATTAATTATGTTCTCATTAGACAGATTAACAGGAGAAAAACAAAATTAGTTTTATATGTACAGGAGCCCCACAAAAGACAGTCAATCAGTTGGAGCTTATATGCCATCATGAGCAAAGGAGAAGGAGGTAAGGGTCTGGGCTTCAAAGGGAAGAAAGACAATTCACAAGAAAATGGGAAGAGCAAATGTTTGGTAAATAAGTGTTTGCCACACCATGCAGAAACAATGGGACATAGAGAACGCTTTGAACAAATAGGCCCTGCTGAGTTCCCCCTAGCTTAGCAGATCTAGCCCATACTCTTTGTAGTTATCTCTGGTGATAGCTCTCATCCTGGACCAGGCCCTCTATCTAAATTCTTTTAGGCGGTTGAGGACAAGGTAAAAATCTCTTCCTGAATCTTTGAGCTTTAGTAATCTTCAACTCAAAATAATCAGCATGCCCAAGTGGCACATCCTGGAGAGACTCATTCTGAACTTCAGCAGCCATATATGTTAGTGGGGCTTGTCTACCATGGGCCACACTATAGGTGATTGGAGAGACATGGATATTTCATGAGAGCCTCTAATCTCTGCCAATTTTTAATATCATTCTTTTTTTTTTAAAGATTTTATTTATTCATGAGAGACACACACAGAGAGAGAGGCAGAGACACAGGCAGAGGGAGAAGCAGGCTCCATGCAGGGAGCCCAACGTGGGACTCGATCGCGGGTCTCCAGGATCACGCCCTGGGCCAAAGGCAGCGCTAAACCGCTGAGCAACCCGGGCTGCCCTAATATCTTTCTTAGTCAGTTTGGACTGCTATAACAAAAATACCGTAAACTGGAGGGCTCAAAAAACAAACATTTATTTTTCACAGTTCTGAGGCTAGGTCTGGTGTCAGGGTGTCAGCATGATCAGGTTCTTGGTGAAGGCTCTCTTCAACAATGATTGACTGTTCATTGTATCCTCACGTGGTGGAGAAGAGGAAGAGAGGAAGCAAATTTTCTCCTGTCTCTCCTTATAAGGGCACCAGTCCTATTTATAGGAGCCTCATCTTCAAAACCTGATTACCTTTCAAAGGCTCCACCTCCAAATATCATCACATTGGCATTCAGGCTTCAACATAATGAATTTTGGGAGGACACAAACATTTAGTCAATAGCAGTATCCATAGGTCTTTTCTCTTGAGCTGGATGGTTTCTCCAGAGAGGAATCTTCCTCCCATATGGGGTCCCTGTTTCCAGCACAGTGCCCAGCTAACCTCAGCTGGGTCTGTGTACCTGAGTCTATGGCTGATAAATCTAGTCATGCACTTGTGTAGTTGAAATAGCTGGGACTTACCTGCACCATTTCAGCATCACACTGCACCTCAGCCTTTGGAGGAGGTACCTGCCTTTTCTCATTTCTTAGGATTTTTAGAGTTCTGAAGAAGAATACCTTCATTGCCAGACTTTAGTTTTTGTGTTACATGAAGTTAATAATCACTAATCTAGCTACTTTCCACAGTGGACATCTGTTGTCTCCTCATCTATTGTCTATGTCATTTAGGCTATCTGTCTTTTACTAATTAATTAATTAATTAATTATCATTTTGGGCAGTTTCAGAAAGGAGATAAAAATATGTTCAATCACCATTTTAAACTTGAGTTGTTTCATTGAGTAAGTTTGTTTGTTTGTTGTTTTGTTTTAACCATATCATGTAGGAGAAAGTTAAAACCAAAGAGGCTAAATATCTTGCCTAAACTGGGAAGTTGGCAAAGAAACGAGCACTTATTCTTATGAACCTCTTTAACAAGGGATAGAAGACAATGTTATAAATATCCACAATAAAGACGACTACAAGACACTGTTGGTGGCATGAATTACCTTTCACTG